TTGGTTGTTGTTTTTTTTACATCATAATAGCACCATGTAAGACATCCAGCTATTTAACTCTTTTTTTTTCGGGGGGGGCGGGGGGTAAACTCACTACGCGGGGCCCTTTTTTGGTGCTAAATCTAAAAATGACAAAAACTTCATTAAATGGGTCATTAAATCGAAAGTAGCAAACCTATTTTGATAGTTCTCAATCTAATGAATGAATGAACTTCCTGTGTAAGAGATCTGTTTTCTGCAATTGCCGAAAAGTAGTTTGACGTCGCTGTCATCATAAAGGAATGTGCCCGAGCCGCTCTGCACTGTGGTTTGGATCGCGAGCCGCTGGGAGCAGCTTGGTGAAGATAAAGAGTTAAGACAACCACTTTGCTCCTCCACAATGGATGGCCATTTCAGACATTTTTGATTGCACATTTCTTTTTTAAAAATTGCCCAGTTTCTTTTCATATGAAGAACTGATGAGCGTTCTTAGCTGTTGCTTTTTTTTTGGTTATGCTTTTTGTCATTCACGATATCATCGATATGGGTAAGATTTATGGAGGGGGTTTTACATTATCTACTTATTTTTCTCTGGTATGAGTATTGCCATGGTCTGCTTATCCTAGCCGAAAAGATAGAAAAGAAAGAAAAAGCAACTTAATCACTTCTTTACAAAGAGATTTTTTTCTCGATGATATTCGGGGTAAAACTGTAATGGTTACATATTAATCAATCTAGATCTAATCTTCCTCATGTGAAAATTGAATTACTGTTCTTTTTTTGTAAGGAGAAGAGTCTAGCAATTACACCACAGGTGCATGTCCCGAATAATTGAAATGTGAAATTCGATCGCTTGGCTTGCTTTTTTATGTAGCAAAAAATCAAAACTTGATTCTCACCTTGACCATCTGTATCATCTTATTTTCTGTTGTAGGTATGGCAAATGTGCTGTTTTGCTCTTTCCACTTCTTGAACACGCCTTACGACGGCTGTTTGTTCTGGCCAACCACTGCCCTGCCAGGTTGATAACTGCTGAGGTAACTTAAGTTTGAATTATTGATATAGCAAGAGGTTGTGAATTTATGATGAGCTACTTTTTTTTGTTCGTTTGTGATACAGGTTGCTGGGGTGTCTCTATTTTTACATGTATTATGATTGTATAAACAGTTTGATGACTAAATGTGAAAAATCCATTTTTTTAAGTGTGGCAGAAACCTGTGCCATCATAGTCAATTTCTTTTTTCCCAAAATGTGATTTCTCCTCTTGGCAACTCCAGTAAGCAATGCGTTTTTGACAAAATATGACAAAAGAGGCAAATCTTTTTTGACAAAGTGCCACATATCTGCTGCGTACCAATCAAGTTCTTTCCTTGAGTAACGTCACTTTGCCTGTGGTTGATAAAAGTTTGTTGGTGGTTCTTTTGGTTCTTAATTATTGTAAATCACTTAGTGTGTCAATATTTCTCAATTAGTTTATGTGAATTTGTTTACACAAGTTGGGCAATAAGATTTCTTTAAACTACGCCATTACATTTTTTTTCTGGCTAGATTATGTATTCGTATGAACTTGACTTGATAAAAATACATTTCTTTCTATTTTGTTTATTTCCTCAGGCTACAACTTTGTTTACAACATTTGAGGAGGTAAGTATACATATATATTTCTTCCTGCTCTATGTTCCTTATAGTTTCTCTTCAGGGCCTACTAAATAAAAGAAGCCAATTCAGGAGCTAGTACCATCCAAGAAACGACTTAGAATGCAGTATTTTCCTCATAGTCGTTTTGTGCTGTATGGTGCTATGCGGGGCGAATTCAGTTGCTGCCCGATTACAAGGACAATGTAGGTGCCTGTGGCTACAGTCAATAGCCTGAAGAAAAGTATGTAACTCAATTTTGTAAATGTTTGCAAAATTGGAAAAGAAGGGAAACATTCAAGAAGTGGAATGTTAATATGATAAAAAAAAGGTCAAATTTAAATGGAGTGGTTTCTGGGACATCAAGGTCATTATCATATTTTCTAGCTTTTCTTTAATCTGTAGGCCTACACTTCCCTGGAAGTTGAGATTGTTTCAGAATGCTCCCAGGTCTGCTGGGGTAATAGTATAGATTGTAAAGTGCATAGAGCTTGCTGTTGAGGGGGAATTTGCGCTATACTACTGCTATTTATCTTTTGTTATGATTTCCATTCACTGATTGCAACTTGATAGGGCCCCAGGGATAATCTCAATAACGTCCAGGGATATTTTTGTAACTTTATAATCGTTGTTGCCCTTTTTCTTTTTGAACTCGGCTAATGAGCAATTTCTGTAAAGTATGATAAAAACTGTGATACAAACAAGAGCATATTTTATCACAGCATCGGTGTGGATGATATTCTATCTGAAATGTTGTAAGTATTATTTGTGTCTTACAACCATGCAAACACATATGTGTGGCATCGTGGTGAGGTCAGACGCTCATCAAAATAATGAAATACAAGGATTTTGCTTAAAAAAACAACCCATTAATTGATCCCCCAAATGTAAATTTTCTGTTTCCAATGGCACTCAAGCTTTGGAAGTCGCCAAATTTTGGTGGCTATTTTCTCGCTATTCTTACCTCTGACACAAGATGACCCCTACCTCCTTCAATTGCAAATATCTCCACTTCTATTCAAGATAGATGGATACTTTTCTTCATCAGAAGCAAGACAAATGAATATGTTTAAATTCATACCAATAGTTTCATATACCCAAAAATTGACAGCACCAGATTCCACTGTATTGTGACACATATAATACACAATATACAGACGTCCATCATACATTCACAATCACATGGATAAAGAAACACTAGGGCCATGCTCTCACATAGAGATGTAGTTCGATGCTTAGACTTGTGAATAAAGTAAGTTTGGAATTTGATATTCACAACACATATTGAGTTTGGTAAAATTTCATCTGATTTGATTTGTCCTCAGATACTTGAGAAAAATTTGTCTGATGGAACTCAGAACATGGTTCCTGACCTACTAGGAGAATCTTGCATGGTGAGACAAAATACACATGCTTTAGAGATAGATGTTCTGTGAGACTGAGACTTGAAATTGGAAATATTTCCACCTTCTAAAATCTATTCACCATAAGCTGTGCATTTTTATGATTACGTAAAAATTATACCTTTTGTTGTGCGTGCCATTGAGTTTCCATTCAGGGATGTATTAAAGTGATATTTTTCTTTTTCCATTCTTTTCTTTTTCTTCTCAGTCCTCTGTGAGGAATCTCTACATGGGCTGTTAAACTGCATTGTGCACCCGGAAAGTGTTTTAGAATTTAAACTAGATTCTAATCCTTAAACATTTTCTTCTGCTGAAAACAATTTTTTTCTAGGATTTCCTCCATGATTTGCTGACTTACCCTTGTGGACCAAGAGCTCGAGACAAACTAGGTCATGGTGAGGTTGACTTTACGGCAGTTCCAGGAAGTTTGTGTCAAGTATTGTTGACTCTCCTGGGATTTATGGCTGCTAGGTTCACGACTGAAGGACTAACAAGCTCAGCACAGGTGTGGAAGTAGCTCTTGTCTGTTTTCAGTCTTACTGAGTTGGTGTTCATTTAAAATGAGGAATGTTATGAATCTAGTTTTAGAGGGGCCTCAGTGATCAAGTAGTGACTGTTTTAGTTTGGTTTTAGTACGAACTTTACAGCACTTGGAACACAATAAGGTTATATAAGTGCCAAAGATTAGAGGTGTTACAAGAGAGTAACAAAACACGAAAAGGAAAGGGTGATAAGGATGATAGATGCTTGAATGGAAGAAGGAACAAATCACATCAAAGCATTAGCCAACCACTTACAGTGGTGATTGAAGGCTGGTTCAGAAGTAATTACTTTTTGATGGAATGTAATTGGAGCATGAGTTTGATGCATTGCCTTGGAAAGTTTAAACAATTTATAAAATATAACTTGGATAAATGTGGCAGCTATCATGCTGGGTAGCTGTTACTATACTACTCTACAACAACCATGCCATGCTTACAAGCTTGCCTTCGCAGCCGGAGGGCCTGTTTCATCTGGAAACTATACAGTAGAGCAGTCACACAATATGGATGAATAAGAAAAAATGTGGGACCTAAAAATCTGTTTGCTCCATGCACGTTTTGCTAGGTACGTGTTCACTGTATTTGTGTTACACTGTGCAATGATTTCAATGGTGTTTTACTGCAGAGTAAGCCCTGCATGTCTTCAAGAAGTTGTGGGGACATAAGAAGTTTAAAAACAAAAAGGAAGAGACAAAATGCAGTTTTTGAAATGCTTGAATAGCTAGAGAGGTGAGCAGAGTAAGCGCGATTCCTTGTAAAGACTTCCTTGTTGACATCCACCCCTTGACGCTCATATGACCTTTTGCAGTTGTGAGCGACGTAAAACCTCTACTAAATAAAAATAAAGTAATGCTTGAATTAACAAGAAGGTCTTGAAAATCATCCTCTCGCTGGTAAATTAGAAGGGAAAATAGTCAGTGGTGGACCATGAACATCTTATAAAATTTGGAGAATTTGAACAGGGGTGACCAGCGGATTGGATAAATATTTTTTTTACAGCATTGGAGCAATGAAATGAATGGCAAACTATAATTTCCTATGTCTGATGATGATGATACAACTTCTTGTTTGTAATGAAACTGCAATTTTGTCATGCTAACATAGGTAATGTCATCAAAGCATGTTCAGTATTCACCTCTATTATGTGAAAACAGTAGCTGTACTTTCAAATCATACTCTACTTGGCTCTAGATAAAAAGTGTACTTATCATCTGACAAAAATTGTTTGCAGTAAATGGTGATTTATGGACAAAAGGAGGGTTTCTGACCGTGGAAGTTTTGGGTGTTCAAAGTGAATCCTTTCATTGTTTTCCTCAGACATTTCGTCTTTTTTTCAATCACATGTTTTCTTTGTGTATTCTTCAGAATTTGTTGGCTCCGATTCAGACAAGCTTTGACAACTATCAGTCTATCTTCCATTCCATTGCCATCTTGCGCTCTAAGGTGATTACATAGTTTATAAGTCTGAACCAAGCTCAGCTGCAATTTGAATTTTGTTCAACGTAAGTATCAAGAAATACTATCTTAAATTAAAATTGCTGACACATTAGATTTTGAAGATCATTATGGAGCAATGGACTGATTAATGAACCATGGAGCAGACAAGTGAACAATAAACTCAGCAATATAATGCTCAATTTGGTTCACAAAAACCTCCTGGTCGCTTCAGATGAGACAAAGTTATTTTTACAAAATTACATATTAGACCTACCTCTCGACACATGAAAACTTCATGCTAGGCGATAAGACATCATTTTGTGTTGGATACAATGCCGACTTTATGATCAGGCACATCCAAATAGAATGTCCTGACTTTGGAGAGACCCATAGGGAATATTATTTTAAATGCACTAATTTGCAGAATTTGTTTTCCATCATTGATTCCAGCAGAATTCTCAAGTTTATAACGACCATTGGTCTTTACAGTAAAATGTAAATATTATTAATTTCAACATGTAAACTACGGCTTTTAAAACCGAATTTTTCCTGTGGTTTTTTTAGATAATTTAACCATTCCAACTTTGCAAAGTGAAACTAAGCTGTACTGTGAACTAAAGAGAAAACAACTAACTTAGAGTCCAGCGCACTCAAATAACCTTATGCAGTTGCAAGCTACATAATTCTCTTACCAAACTCCAACTCAAATTCAAAGATCATAATATTTTTGGATTTCCAGTATTTCTTGGCTGAAGACAGTCAGAAGAACTTTTGTTAGATGGTTAGAATATTAAAGAGATGGTTAGATTATGAGCTTGGGAGATCATTTTATAATCAGTAATGTCTAGTCTCCCTGAATGGGAGTTTGTGTCTTTCTCATAATTTTCTCCACTCTTGTTATGTTTGTTTGAACAGAACAGAGATATTTGTCACGTATTGAAAGGATGAACTGTTGTAAGATGTGTGTGTGCTGAAGTAGCGATTAAAAATTGTCTTGTGTAGAACATTCTGTTGGGGCTTTCAACATCGGAGTGTGGATCAGGTATGCATGTACATAAGTACTAACATATTACATGTACATATACATGCAGTCTGGTAGGCCTTCTGGCACGCAGGCTTGCAACTACTACATGGGCAGACAGACCGACAGACAAATGGAAAGACAGACAAATGGAAAGACAGACAGTCATCAGACAGAAAACGTCCATCTAACAGGGACAGAAGGAGCAATTGCAGTAAGCAAGCAAGCAAACACACCTTTCTTCCCATTTTTTACCCTGTATCTAACATGCTTAGCTTGATGATGTCACTGATAGCTCATGCTTCTCTCTTATCTTATTGGGTTTTTTTATTTTTTTAAAACCCCTTTTTCTGCAGATGCTGACCTTGTCACTAGACGCCAGTATGCTTCAATCAGACACGACATTTTCACCACTTCTGGAGTCTTGGTAAATAGAAAAGTTTTTGAAAAGTCTGTTGTACTCAAGCTACTGAAATGTTGCCTCCAACCTATTGTTTTTGCTGACTTGTTGTCTTGTGCTGTATTTAAGGGTTTTTAAACACTTCTCTTGTTCGTAACATCACCTAAACAAGATTTCTGTCTCGTCATCGTTGAATGTTGTAGCTCATGCCTCTACTTGCAGCAAGTCTTGGGGTTTATTTTGTTTTTTTTAAAGTATAGGTGTTTTTTATGCCCCCATCGATACAATTTAGGTCTTTAAGGAGGCAATCAGTCAATCTGGGCTGAGAGAGATACAGCATCCCAGCAGAAACACAATACTTGATAAAAAATTATAAAAATGTTCTCCCCACCCAGGAATTGAGCTCAGGTCTCCTGCACGCAACAGCTACGCACCTAAATGCTACACCACCGATGCTGTTTTGGTGGGGTTTTTTTTTACATGAACTAATGATAACATTGTAATGTTGACAAGGAGACAGGGGTCAATTTCATGAAAAATCTTACCCATGAGGCTTGATTCTTATGTGTTCTTTTGGGAGAATCAAAAAGAAGATCACAGTGGGAGAATCAAAAAGAAGATCACAGTGTGGGTGGTTGGCGGGTGCTCTGGTGTGTTTGCTTCTTCTTTCCTATCAAACATCTATCGTCCTTATCTCCCCTTCTTCTTTTTTATGTTTGTTACTCTCTTGTAACAGCTCTAATCTCCTGGCGCTCATATGACCTTATGCAGTTGCGAGCGCCGTAAAACGTTTACTAAATCTTTTTAAAAAGATCACAGTGGATGTTTTTATTTGTTGTCACAGCAACAATCAGTATTTGTGGGCATGTTATACCTCCATTGACACAGTGTAGATAATTGAAGAGGCGGTCTTTGACCCTGGCTGTCAAGGCCAACCTGGGCTGAGAGGTATGCAAATATACAATGTCCGTGCAGAAAGAGGGAGATATTTGATTAAAATTCTTCCCACACAGGTCGTCTATAAGGCAATGTGCCTGATCGGTGCACCACAGACACCGGTCTGCCGAAGATGTATGTTTTGAGAACAGATCTTTTGAAGTACAGTTAAACCTGTCTAAGATGAACACCCATTGTTAAGGAGAAAAGTAATAGTCATCTTAGACAGGTAGTCATTTTGGACCGTAGTTATAATAAAGACAAATACAGCAATTGGAAAAGTGGAAAGATATTTTTTGTGCAGATGCTTATCTTTGACTGGTGATCCTTAGAGAAATTTCCAGTGTAGGTTCATATGTTCTCAACTGAAAAAGAAAATGGAATACTAGAAAAGATAATCCAGAGATTATATCTGATGTCTTTCTCTTTCTTGTCAATAACCCTTTGTAGTAGATGTGACCCTACTCAAGGATACAATTTTTGAAAATTGTACAGTTTTAATCATTTTTTTGTTTGTTTTGTTTTGTTTTAGGAAACCAGAGGATGGACTGGACTGTTTTATATCAGAGGAATCAGTGTTCCCCAGTGTTCACTACAGGCTTCAAATATTCATTGAGAACATCTCTGAACAAATGGAAAAGGATTTTGCTGATAAATGGACAGGAGTCAAAGAAAAGTGAGGATGTTTGTTGTTATTTGTTTTGTTTTGTTGCTTGTGTGTGGTTGTCTGTTTTCAGAAATGGATGACTGATATCAGTGATGTAGCGGTTAAATGCTTTGAATGTGGAAGATATGAGTTTGATTCCCGAGTTGGGACAAATTTGGAATTCAAGTATCAAGTATCACCACCTGTCTGCTTAGATATTGTATCCCACTCCGCCTGGGTTAGCCCTTACAGCCATTGATAATATGCCAGTTTCTTTGATTTCATTATGTTGATGTGCATGATTTCATCATGATACCTCACAAATCATTTACAAATACAACTCTGAAATGGACAAGAAGACATGAAATCTTTTTAATAGCCATATTTTTGTACCTTTCTCCACAGACTGCTCATTGCGTTCAGTGATACGGAAAAAGCCCTTTCAGATCTAGTCAAGTTCAGAGTCCATTCTTTATACAGATGGCAGGTGGTTAAGTTATTAAATATTGGCATCTTTATTTTTCTTGGGTTTTTTACTCATATTTTTTGTTACCCGATGTGCACTATATTTTTGGCGGAACGTTCCACGTCGTCTTTGCTATTGTGCAGTATTATAATATGTTTGAATTTGTTTAATTATCATTTATTGATAGAATATTATGTATCCAAATATGGCGGTCGTTAATGTGGAGATGCCTTGCAAGGATAAGGCAACATTGTTCATTTTGATTTTTGATGAAAATAAAAATAAACAAATGTTTGTGCACATCGGAGTGACTGTAGTTATTTATGATTGTTTTTACGTGTTGATGTTGATCATGTGGTCTGCCCCTTTCTGCCTATCAAACATCTGTTGTCCTTATCTCTCCTCCTCTTTTGTGTTCATTACTCTCTTGTAACCCCTCTAATCTTTGGCACACTTTTATTGCCTTATTGTTTTGCAAGTGCCGTAAAACACGTACGTGTACTGAAAAAAACACCCCAAAAACCAAACAAACAAACCCACGTACACCTTACGTTGAACATTG